ATTCTAGCAGTGATGATGGTCACAGAACGGCCAATGCTGCTCTAGCTAGCAGCCTTGCATGATCCTTCCGCAACATGCCATATCTAGTTTCCTGCTCTCTGATTGCCATTAATAATAGTGGGGTTTTATTATTGCAATGAGGATGGGTACAATGGCACCGTCGAGTCTGGGGCCGCTGAGGACAAGTAGTGATCTTATTGTTGTGCCTAAGACGGCCGACGCTACTTCCAAATGTGTTGCCTGCGTTCTCTTTTACGTTTTAACCGTTAATTTGGAGTTTTTATTTTATTTTTATTGTTTCTAGGATAAGCAAAAGATGTTAGCAGAGCAGGGGAGTGTGTCTTTTGCATTTTGTGGGGAAGAGAGGGGACTGAAGTAACCGAATCCATCCTTTGTAAATTCGGGATCTTATTCCCTCTTTTCTTAGTAGACTTTCTCAGTTCTTAATTAAAAATTTCATTTATAGTATTATTTATGCAGGCAATCAAAATTTCCTAAACGACTTCGTACTCTTTGTTCAAATTCTGAAAGTCTTACTTTAGATTATCAAATTATGATGTGGGGTCGTTTGTTTTGTCTTGTTTTGTCTATTATTCTCTTGAATATAAGCTCAAAGATTCCACCATACATATATATATACATTTGTATATACATAAGCTCAAAGAGAAGAATAAGAAGAATGTGGGCAATAAAAACTTATAAAATGCTCTTTAAAAATATTATTTTAATTAGTTAAGAATTTTATACTTAATTCAAATTAAAGGTTTTAGTCATTAATAATAATATATTTAGTTTAAGAAAAATAAATGGAGAATTTTTCATATTTCTTTTGTCTTAAAATAATTAAAATGAAAAAATAAAGTCAAATTTTTTTGTAATAAAATAATTAATTAAAATAAATAAATAATAATATAGTTAAATTTTAAAAAATAATATCTATTTATTTTAAAAATAATAATTAATTTAAAATAAAGTTAAAATAATAATAATAATAATAATAATAACTAACAATCATTTTAAAATAAAATGCGTAATTGATTAAAAAATCCTCTTATCTCTTTCATTACCTTCAATCAAACATATTATAACACACTAACAAAATGGATATTTGGAGGCAGTAATTATTGAAACCGTGTATTGGTTGCGGTTGAATTTCCTTAGGTACAAGCGCAGGATGGTTTATATATTGCAAAATCATCAAAATCAGTAACCCATATATTGCAATCTAGTAAACTAATGGCTAGCATTAATATTTGAATAAACTAATTTTAATTGAAAACTTAAATTTAAATTATTTAACTAATCTCCACAAATTCAACATTAGATTAGTTAATCATAAACATCAAAAAACTTAATTTTTTAATGTATACCTATAAAGGCTTCTTTTGCTTTGTGCTGTTTCTCTTGGATTTTTCCCCCTTTTTCCAGAACTCAATTCTCAAGTTTGTTATGCAAGCAACTACAGTCTCCGCGTGAAGAAGAGGAGGCGGGAAGTCTAGCAACTTCGCGTAGAGAGAAGAAGCCCAAAGGGGATATGATGTGGCATTGGCGAGGTCCATAGCGTCCGAATGTAAAAAAAAAAAAAAACGGTTGGATGTCTGGGCAAGTTAATGTTAACGGCCAACAAACTGTCCGTTAACCCAAAATTGGACAGAATTTGGAGGGAGGGACCCATCAATACATTTTCCAATAGTAGGGGAGGAGGTGTAGTTAATATAACACAGGACCCATAGAACTCTCTCTTCTCCAATTTACATCACACGCAATGAATTTCATACCATTTTAATTCTTACCCGATTCCTTCAAAATTAATTCCCAATTAAGGTAAATTTTAAAATTTAAATTATAATATTAATTATTGTAAATTAAAATTAGAATTTTAATGAATGTAAATTGAAATTTTATCTTGGTTAATTATTATATTTGACTAAAAATTTGAATTTCAAAAACAAAATGTTATAAAAAAATAAAAATATATGTACTATATTTAATATTTTTCAAAAGTTTAAGGGGTAGCCTGTCAACCACTAAAAAGAATTCCGTTGGTCAGTTAACGGAATATTTATTAAGTAAATCATTTTGAAACAAAATTGATAGTTTATAAATCATTTAAAAAAAATTTTTAAACTAAACTGAAATACATCATATAATTAATAAATTATTTATTGAATTTAGCCTTCCTTAGACAAAGAGACAACCGTCTTTGCCTCTTGCTCTTTATATTACACATTCTTTTCTTGAATGAAGAAACACGTCTTCGGTTCCTTGCTTCTCATCTCAGCAACTTTATTTTTAATATTTTATTCCAATTATTTCTTTTTTGTTTTTATTGTTTAATTCCAACCTTCAAATTTAATCAATATTGATTCTAACTTTAACTTTTGAATTCTTTTCCTTCCCATTATACCTCTATAAATGTTCTTTGGCCCATTTATTGTTGTCTGCTTAATTTGCCTCTGGTTGTCATTACCAATTGTTACCAACTGTTTTCAGGGACACCATTCACTGGTATGTTGGCTCTGTTCTTCATTCACTTGTCTCTGATGCATAATTAAGAAATTTAAGTTTTGGTTTAACTTTGAATTTCTTTGAAGAGAAAAATATCTTGTAGGCTATCCTCTTAAATTCTTTTTAGAGAATTTGTCTAAAAATTCAAATTCAAATTATTATTTTTAAAAACTAATAGTTAGATTAAAATTTTTATTTGTATAGATTATACATGCTAA